CGTTCTCCCTTGAGCTGTGTTAGGGTATTTTATCAACAGCAGATGAAAAGAAACCAAGACACATGGAATCTGCAGAGGCCACTGTGGCAAAGTTTGTGCTACCAAATCAATAGAGTCGCTGACAAGAGAAAGATTGCACTGTCCCAGCTGGCACGGGGGCCTCACATTCTTCCCTCAGACACACCTCTCCACCCTTCACCCTCCAACAGGAACAAAACATCGCGCAAACCCGTTATTCAAACAGTAAGATGACCTCAAAACCTCTGGTTCTAACAAAAGACAATAGCTGAAAGGGTTGACAGTGAGTGCCTAGACCCACACAGGATTTCCAGTTGAAGAGGTGGCATTCAGTACCTCCATAATGTTAAAACGCATTCAGGGAGGTGGCAATTTTATTTTCATAATTTCATAGAAAACGATGCAAGCTTAAGCTAAACAAGGCAAAGGCAACTTGTCCAAAGACTAACCCCATTCCCAGCTGGGAGGAAAGTGCTAACCCCATGAAGAATATTGGAATCAGCACTAGTAGGCAAAACATGACGCGTTCTTTTAAATAATGCATGCGATCATGTTTTTATTAACAAAGAAAGTCTCATTTCAAAACACACACGTCCTTGAAAGGAATCTGAAATTAATTCTCAGTAGGCAGAACCCCACGGCATTCTGTGTTCTAATTATAATTACAACCTGCCCTTAACACGGACATTCAAAATTATCAGGCGCTTTATTAAGAAGTAGAAAGGGGCTTCCTGCTACATGAAGCCCACAGGCTTTGAGAGATGTCACAGACAGTTTTGCACAGGGCTGGGAAGCGTGGATGTTGCCATTTCTTTAATGACTGCTTGTTTCCTTTTTTTTGCCTGGAATGGGCACACCCTTAGGGGCTTAGATACCATGAGGTTTCAGAGATGCTCTTTCTGGGGCAAGATAAATATGCTCCTCACAGAAAAATATCAATTCATCACTGTAATGGTTACGTCCCCCTACAGAAGCCACTGGAGACTGCTTAACATTTTCAACTGAAGCCTAGTTTTCCCCAGTCCTCAGGTGACAAACTGATACTGATGCCAGAAGGCTTTTCTCCCCATTTGTTCCTAATAAAACTGGCTCGATTCTAAGTTCATTTCCACCTGGGGAGATGTTACGATCTGAGCTTTAACAGACTGATTCCCCTCTTCCCTTCTGCGTGTTTCTCCTTCAAAGTGTTCGCAGGCATTATCTGTGCAGGTCAGCAAAGACCGTTGACCTCTTTGAGCTCTTGTCCCTTCCCCTAGAGACCTCTGCTGGAGAGCGACAGGATGTGAACACAGCAACATCTGGGCTAGATCTTCTGGCTGTCTCAGGCTCAGTGCTCTCCTATCCTTTAGACCTACTCCACGTCTGTATGTTCGAAACTTTGCATTGTATGTGTTGGGTTTGGTTTTATGTGTGGTGGAGGCACATGTGTGTGTGAACCATGAGCACACTTGTGCATGCAGAGACCCGAGGAGGATGCTTGTTGGGTGTCCTGCTTCATCATTCCCCACTTTATTTCCTGAAGACAGGATCTCTCAATAAGCATGGAGATAGGCTAGCAGCCTGCAAGCCCCAGTGATCTTCCTATCACTGCCCACCAAGATGCTGGGAGTGCAGGGATGTGCAGCCACACCTGGCTGCACAGATCCTCGTGTGGGCAGTAAGCGATCTGACCCATGGAGACAATCTCCCCAGCTCCTAAACCTTTACACTACAGATAGAGCTTTCTATTTCAAATTATTCCTGAGCTTCCCAAATACTAGCTTCAAATCAATTTTCTTTTTTATACACCTAAGAACTCTGTATCTAGTCTTAAACCTGAGGATAATTTTATAAAAATAATCACTTTTTAAATTATTATTAACCAATTGACAGTTCAAAATTGTTGAGGTGACAGCAAATTTCTGATGCTTCTTCCTGGCATTCAGACCTCAAACATTACCACCCAACTTGTTGAATTTCCTCTTCAGGAACAAGATATACTTCAGTTATATATGATAGTGGTTAACAACATTTGTTTTTCTTTTCATTACAAGGAATGAGTCAGGCACTAAGACAAGAACCTTGGGGGATCATCTGGATCCATCTTTGCCATAGCTCACAGTCTCTGTAAATGAAGCTCAGAGAGGTCAGATGACTCGCTTGCAGCCACAGAGCTGGTGGAAGGACAGCCAGGACATGAACTCAGATAACCAGCTCCTGGGGCCCATGTGCACAGTCCACACACCAAGCTCAGCTATACTTGGAATGTGTGACATCATCGGAAGACTCACAGTCCTCCTTCTAAGGTGACCCATCCGGTTCCAGATGGAAAGCTGGCAGGTGGCTATTTGAAGATGTGCTTGTATGTGAAAAGTATGTCAAAGGCTCCCCATGCCTTCATGTTAGAATCAAGTTTTGGGATGGACAGTATCTGTGATCAGTACAACAGGGTCCAGAGGGAAGACCCCCAGGACCTGGACCTTAGTACCTCCAAGAATGAGTCCAGTACAAGTTACCTGCCATGGATGAAGAGGTCAAAGATACACCTGCCTTCAACTAGGGTGTGTGTGTGTGTGTGTGTGTGTGTGTGTGTGTGTGTGCTTTGTGTTCCAATGTGTTTCTGCCTAATCACCAAATATAGAAAACAAGCAAACAAACCCTCTAATAGAAGAAGATGGTTTACTCAGATTTCTTAAGTAAATGAATCTGGAGTCAAGGCTACATAGACAGCCTGTAACCTACAGAATCCTTGGCAGTAGACAGTGCATTCTCAGATCTGCAGCCATGAAAGCATGAACTATGCAGATGGCATGACCTGAGGCACCCTCAGTTACTACTTGGTTGCACGTTGATTTCTGCCCATGTGAGGGATGGCTTGTAGATGACTCCAGCAGCTGGGTTTTGACTTGATGAATGAACCAGCATTCCGGTTTATATTGGTCACTTCCAAGTGCAGTTACTATGAATATGTCTCCCTACAGTCAACACACTTCAGGGTATACAGACAAAATTTCTGGATCTCCAAATGAGGGAATCCAATCTTGCTTTTTAGTAACTCACAAAGATGTGAATACTTCTCCCATTCCCCATCCTCTCTGTCCCTTCCTTGCTCCTCCTCCTTGTCCCAAAGAGCAGAAGGTAGAATCTAACCAGAATCAGGGATGCTGATATGGCACTGGTTATTCTGGGGTTGAGTCACTGTGTGCAAAAGACCCCCTGACCTGGCCCTCCTGTGGGCCACCTGCTTCCTTTCTCTGGGAAGAACCTGTCCCCCGACTCATCCTCATTCCAGCCTGTGGATGACACTCACTCTAACACACAGGGTTCCCAGAGCTGGACGTCAGAGGAAGGAAAGCAGCCTGGCTTCATTTGAGCTGAAACCATTCCCTCTAGTTCATCATCTAGTGATGATGCTGGGCATCCCTGAGGCTACTAGAACATGGCACAGAATCCCACAGCACAGTCTTGTTCTTTTTGGTACATGCTGGTTGGAGAGAGAGAGAGAGAGAGAGAGAGAGAGAGAGAGAGAGAGAGAGA